AGAGTTATTGTACATAGGATCACTATGAGTTGCAGGAGATTTGATGGCACATAACAACTAGACACTGGAAAATGAAAAGAAAAATAGAATATTAAAACACTTGATATAGAAAATATGATAGCTATTGAGATAATGGAATGAACATAGCTAATGAACAAATTAGTGATCAGATGTAAAACTCGAGGCATGATAGAGATAAATATAAAATAAAATATGGAGAACATTAGTAAAAGTGCTAATATCTTTATAACAGGAATTATAGAAAAGGGAAAAAGAAAGAAAGCACAGTTAAAAATTATGAATTTTCCTGTTATTTAAATTTAATAAGAGACCTCACATGTAGGCTCCTGCAAAGATGAAAAACCAACTATGTTTGTATCCTGTACAGCAGGAGATAAAACTGCGACTCAGAAACCATTCCAAAGCTTTTCTGTCAAACCTGTAAGCTGAACAAGGGAACAGGGTTCATTAGAGTAACATAGAGAAGATTTATCCCTTTAAAACCTCTTGTTTCTGATGACCTCATTACACAACAGCAAAATAATTCAGCCTAACTAATACAAATTGTCCATCTTGAACATTAGGCTTTTAAAAAATATCTGTGTGGCATTACTTCTGGGACTTTAAGCCCTTACAGAGGCTTCTGATCTGAACTGAACTGACCTCAGGTACCACATTTCAACCACAGAGTAAACAAGCCAATAAAATGAACAACAGCACCCATGATGATTTTTTTTTAAAGAAAAATTAGCTATTGAATACAGAAGAGTAAGCTTTTGGATGAAAATGAAATCCAGAGGGAATGAGGGAGCAAGAAAAACATATAGAAATAGAGAACCCAAGGAGGAAGTTACAAGAGTTGTTTCACGAAAGGGATTGCAACTAATGTTAAAAGACATAACTCAGAGGGAAGAAATTCCTGACCATCTGTCTCCAGTTTTGTACTCACCTAGACTGGGAATAAGCCTGCAGGCCTTTCCTTGTCTCCAGCAGCAGGGCACATAGGGGAGAATTTGTGCCCCCACCTCCCTCTGGCCAGGTTCTCTTTTCATGTAACTCTAGCATCGACTTGGAGAACGCCTACAGCCTGCTCTGTAACCACTTACCAGCAGTGATCAGAGGACTGGGAAGTCTCACCTGCACTGAACTCCATTCCACTCCACTCCAGGTACTGTTGTTGTTGTTACATGCCATTGAGTCACTTGCGACTCCTAACGACCCTATGTACAACAGCCCTAAACCCTGTTATAGCCTGTGTCAATTGTGCTGCCTCCAACACATCCATCCCAATCACCTGAGTCACTGAATCAATCCACCTCATAGAGGGTCTTTCCCTCCTGCGCTGTCCTTCCACCCTCCCAAGCATGATGTCCATCCCCAAAGACCAGTCCCTCCGTACAACATGTCCAAGGTATGTCAAACAAAGCCTCACAATCCTTGCCTCAGAGGAGCCGCCTGGTTTAATGCTCTCCAGGTTAAACCTGTTTGTTTTCTTAGCAGTCCATGGTACATTTAATACTATTCTCCAGCACCACAGCTCAAAGGCATCAATTTT